CTGATAAGGTTATTGCATTGCTTAAAAGCCTGATATGCATATTTTTTGAAGGATACATTAATGAAAGGGAGATTTATTGGATAAATTTATGGAAAATATGGAGAAAGATGGTATCGTATTGGTAGCTTGGTTGCATTTAACCAAGAGTTGTTATAGAAATTGATGTTGATGTTGGAGATTTTTTAACGGAAAATCTTCGTTTTGGCTTCAAGTTATTGAAGTCATTGGAAGATAAAGAGAAATATAGTATCAGTATTGGCAGCTTGGTTGTATTTAAATAAGTTTGCTCGTATAAAAATGGAGTTAGAAGATTTTTCTAATGAGAATTCTTTGTTTTGGCTCCAAGTTATTGAAGTCATTCATGGGACAGTGGATAATTTACTGATCTCGAGGATGACATTAGAGTTAAAGTATGCGGTCAAGAATTATTGGGAGACAAATATTATATCACACCTTTTTTTGATGAAAATGTGAATAATAGTTCTTGCACTAGTTTTTGGCACAATGTTTGGCTTAGAGAGGTTGCTCTAAAAAATAGATTCAAAAGACTATTTTTATTGGAGATTGAAATACATTTCCTGCTTTTGGACCAATTTGTGAATGGTACTTTTGGGTAGAAATGGCGGCTTGAAATAATGGAGGTGAACTTGAACAACTTGGGGATCTTCTTGATGTGTTGCAACAGTTTGTCCCGTCTTTGGATCCATATAAATGGTGGTGGTCTCTTGATATACCAGATGATTTGTAACATCTCTAATTCCATGTATTTACCTTTTACCCCCTTGGTATGAGAATTGTTTGCATTTTGGTCCCAATTGCATTTTTGTAATTTTTGGGCAAAGTGTGCCTACGCTGGGCGTACATTGCGTACGCATGGCATACGTGGCAGAATTCCAAACCCTAATATTTACGGTTTGGACCCTATTTAAACATCCTTAACTCTCAAGGCTTCTTTCTTTCATCAGCCTACTGCCCTATTTCAACCCTTTGCAAACCCCAATCCATTTGAGAGCGTATTTGGTCCATTTGTGTGTGTTCTGGTGATCTTGAAGGAGTAGGAAAGAAAAGGAGACAATCTTTGAAGAGTGAAGCACTTTGGATCCAAAATCACATCACCATTTGACACCATTTGGAGGTAAAAAGCTTTGATCTTGATGAAGTTCTTCTTAGATATTGTTTAGTCATGGTTTTGTGTTCATGTTGGTCCTATAAGCTTCAGATTATGAGTATGGGTTACTCTAATTCATATGAGTTTTCCTTTCTGTTTTGGTCAAAAAATGAACAAGCAAGAATCGACCAAAGTGTATGAGAGGCTGTGATGTTCAGAATAATGCAACTATAAAATGTTGATCAAAGTGACACAAGTTGTTTACAAGGAAAGCCCTTGATCCTTGCTAGGATCTCCGACATAAAACATTGGGAGGTGATAATGATCACCTGCCTCGATAATTTTATTGATTGAAAATGTCGATTATAGAGAAAATGTAAAGAATATAAGTACAAGTGTTGGTGTTCTGCTATGTGTCGTGTGTAATGTGATGAATACATATGTTTTTTATAGTCTAAAGCTAATAACAAGAACTCCGACAATTCCGGGATCCTCCGAGATCAACTTATAGGCGTTACTTGACTTGGTCTTCCGGGTCTTTTGAATGGTCACAATGATTATTCGTGAGAATAAGTCTTTGGCTGATTATTTCTGCACATGTGAGAAAAATAACAAAGCATATTACTGGCATAAACGTTAGGAGAATAAATGATAATAGTCAGGATCCTGAAGTATCGTCGAGGATCCTGAATGTAATTCCGGGATCCTGGCCCTAACAATTGCCCCCAAATTATTCCTGCGAAATATTTTGGAGTTAGTTTGCCAAAATTTAAAGGTATAATTTAGTAAAAAGAAATAAGATTGTGAAATGTTAATCGGATAGGGAATATATTTTTTTTAATCCTAACGGTTAGAATTCTAGCCATTGGAGTAGGTCACATCAATCTTTTACCTCTCCGTGATTCTTGTATAAATATAACATCCAACAATTCAATTTTCCTTACTTTTTTACCCCCCACTCCTTGACGTCTATCGAATATCGTTCGAAGGTACTTTTCTCATTTCTTTTTCTTTTTTTTCCTATTTGGTTTCGATCATGGACAAAAGAACAATTCGATCTCGTGGAAACATCATTGCCATACCCGATGATGATTTCACGGATCAAAGGATTTTATCTTACGAGGAAACCTGCACCTTCACTGATGATGATATTGAGATGTTAAAGTCGTCCGGAACCTTCCCTGTTGGCACGGTCTTTAGAGCTTTTGATGCTAAAATTCAACCGATTTTATTTCTTCTACTTGGGTTTGTCTCCCCGAGCCCTTCACCCTAAGGCTTTCTTATCCTTTCTCTGGAATTGTTTCAGAATTTTTTGAGAGCACAAAGATCTCGTACATCCAAGCTATGCCAACGATCTGGAGGATCCTCTATTGGATTGATCACTTGAATCATTCCAAGGATCTTTCCGTCAGTCTAAATGAGCTAGCCTATGTTTATGATCTTACAAATTTCGGGACGCTTTCTATTGAAGGTCAAAGCAGATAGGTTTCTCCTTGTGTTGAAATCCAAGCACAATGATGGTGCTTGGAAAGGGAAGTATTTCTTCGTAAGACGTGACTCCATTCCTGATGGGAATCTATTACCTCAATCTTGGGTTAGAAAGAGTAGGACTTCATGTTTCTATATTGAGGATCTCAATATTCACTTTTCTTATCTTTTCCGATGTTGTGCAGCTTTCAAGTTCGAAATCTTGGTTCCTCCTGCTGAAGACACAGAGAACACGATCCAAATTTTTTCCACTCTGTCTGAATCAGAGAGGTCATTCAAGCTTATCCAATCCAATCTTCAAGAGAGCTCATCTCCCACTGCCTCCATGTCGAAAGGTAAGGATCCTAAATTCGTCTTCTATATCGCATGAGGGGTCCTGACTTCTTATTGTTTTGTCCAGGATCCAAAAGTACCCGTTCCGGCACTCATTTTACCCTTGCTGACTTGGATACAACGATGTCCAGTGGTCAGTTGATGATGAAGAAAGAGAAGAATTTGCCCCTATCATGAGAGCCCCCACAGATCTGGCCGTGAAAACTCTAGGATCTAAGAAAAGAAAGAACACGAGTTCTATTGAATTGAGCTTGGAGAATCTTGGGGCGGAATATGTGCTCCAGAAATTGGTTTCCTTTTCTCAGGCTGTAAGAATAAATATCCTCCTTCCCTTTGTATTTTTATTCTTTTCTATCTCTTACATCTTTCTTGCTTCAGGTTTCTGACCGTGTCTCTGTTGAGTAGAGGGTTCGTGTTGAAAGAGATGAGCAAGTCCTCAAAGAGAAATATAAAATATGGAGAGCAATTGATGCGACATTGGCTCCGACCACCTGCTCTGAGGATGTGCTTCTATTTCAGAGAGGATCTGCGAGGTCACAACAGACAAGACCGTTAGAGCCGCCCCAGGGACTGTGCCTCGGGAGCAGGCTCCGGCGATCAAGTTAGATCGGTTGGTACATGTGAGATGGTTCTACTTAACTAGAAAGAACCATCTTGGTGCTGGGGGTAGTGTATGGTGGCTGACGACGGAGGGTGGCGGCTGAGCCGCCGGGGAGAGATCTCGTGCCGGCTGAGCCACCGGGGGAAGTCCCCCTCCATGGAGGAGGCACTATTCACTTTATAAGGTACAATTAGGTCAAGAGGAATTAGTTCAGGCCTTGGGCCAGCCCAATTTAGGCCCAACTAGTAAGGAGATGGGCAAGGCCGTCTGGGGGCGCCGGGCGAGGATGGCGGGCGCGCACCAGGCAAGGCTGGCGGGCGCGCACCAGGAAATGCTGGCAAGGGAGCGCTAGGCCGGGCCGACAGGAAAGTCCCCAGGCAAGGCTGTCAAGGGAGTCCCAACAAGGCTGGCAAGGGAGCGCCAGGCAATGCTGGCACGCCAGAGCTATCTAGGCCATGCTAATGGACCCTATATCATCAAGTCCCCCCAGTCCGAACTTATTGGTACGCGGCTAATGACATTGGACTGGACTCTGTCATATAAACCGTGTGTCATCAAGTCTCCCTGGTCCGATATGATTGGTTTGCTGACAATCGGATCAGACTAGACAAAGCACCAGTGCATTAAATAATAAAGAGAACGACCAAAACTTGCCCACGAGGGCTGCGGTGTTGGGCTATGGGCCAAGCATGGGCTGGCTTAATGATCTTTCCTTGTCAAGAGTATGATTCGGTCGGTGAGATGCAATGTAGCTATTGCTGCCATTTTGCAAAGCAAGTCTGCTGATGATGTCATGCGGAGCGGGGCTGCTATGCGACAATGATGTCGATAAGGCATCAGACCAAGGTAGCTAAGAAATGTAATCTCGCCATTCAGTCCTTGAGACTGTTATCCGACGCAGTTGTTGTTGTAGTCACGCGCAGATGGAATGTCACCGATAACCATCTACATAGTCTTCTTTGCATGAGCATTAATAACCGTCCTGAAGGTCACTACAAGAAAAACAACCTTTTACGAAACGCAATGCGTGTCGTAAAACGCTCAGACGACAGGCAAATGCGTGTCAAGGAAGGACCTGTCATAACGAAAGACGACACGCTTTTGCGCGTCGTCTATTTACGACACACATTTACGACACACATTTACGACACACATTGCGTGTCAAGGAAGGCCCTGTCATAAAGGAAGACGACACGCATTTGTGTGTCGTAACCTTACGACGCGCGTTTAGGACACGCATTGCGTATCTTTAAAGCCCCTGTCATAAATGAAGAAGACACGCATTTGCGTGTCATAAACTTCAGCAACCATTTACGATATACATTTACGACGCATCTTTACGATACTCATTTACGCATAATACAAAAATATGTAAACAAATATATACCAAAACAATCAATTTCATCCAATAACATCATGTCAAAATATTGTAATACATTGATATTAAGGGGATCTAATTGTATATTGTTATTAAGAGGTTTTCCCTACAGAAGGTTGAAAGTAGTCATCTGAATTTTCAGTTTTAGCACCACTTGAACTCGCTCCCCACCCGCCACCAACTTCTTTCTTTTCACTAGCAGCAGCTGCACCCCATGCATAACCTCCACCATCTTCTAGTCATGAAATAAGAAGAATTTAAAAACATTACAATATGATTATGAAATAACAAGACACAACATATTGATCCATACCTTTACTGACATCATTATCCGTGGAACCAAAAAGGATTTGCAGAATTGGATTCTGGTTGAAGCTGTACCAAGAAATCAATTATCATATTACGGAAAGATTTAAAGAAAGTAGATTAAGATCTAAACAAACCGATGAGCCTGCTGCAGGAAAAGGTGCCCAAGAACTCCTACATATACAAAATACTCAAATCATCAGATAAATACATAAGAGATATATCTAAGTTGTAAACTTATGTTTGTGTTTCTACTTTCTATACATAAGTTATTTATGATAAAAACCTTTCAGTAGTTTGGCCTCCAATATTCCACCCTCCACCACCACCTCCAGGTTCAGATGCCGCTCTTCCATCCATCCATCCTTTAAAGGCTACAGTAGTGTATTAGCCAAAGATGATACACAATATTTAAAACAAAGAAAGATAAAAATAACTTTTAACCATAAATATAATTTCCCACCTTGAGAACTCACAGGCTCACCGAGCAAATCAAATGACTTTTCAGAATCAAACAAAATGGCAGGATAAAGTTTATGGCGTAGCAAATGAAATATAAATTACAAAGTTAAAACCACTATACCCAATGGAAACACCAAAAATCTTTCCTTTAACCTCAGCAAGATGCTCAACTTTAACTGCAGTGCAGACACAATATAATACAAAAAGATTACCTCCTAAATCCCAAGAAAAACAAAATATGACTAAAAAACAGATCACCTGTAAGAATCTTGTGCTGGGAATCAAGCTTGATTGTGATATCTGAATATCGAATTTCCATGACACGACACATGTATCCCTTTAGGTGGCCCACACGTATTCTCAATGACTGCCCAACAGAGAAACCTTCTTTATCTTCAACTGCATGCACGACACAACAAAATCAGAATATTAATGATATGATCATATGTTTGAAAACCCTTCAAAAGGTTTCTTAGGTGATAAAGGGGACTTGGGTGATGATGGGACATCATCAAAACCAGAGTCACCTGATTTACCACCCTGCAATACATAAATTTTTTAATAATATTGAAGAAAGAACAATTACAATGCTAAATATATATAGTAATCTATGATCAACTAGCCTTTCCTTTATAAGAATTAGGGGTGTTCACGGTCCGGTTTTTTCGGTTTTTAGGTCAAACCGAAACCAAACCGTTAGTAACGGTTTTTGTCATGCGAACACCGAAACCGAACCGTTGAAAATTAAAACCGAACCAAACCAAACCGTTGCTAACAGTTTGGTTTCACGGTTTTGGTTTTTCAGACCCATTTTAGTCGAGCACATTATACTAATTTAGAAAAAAAACTACACTATTAAAAGAGTAATTTCTTAATTTATTTCTAGTCTTGGGTGGGTCATTTCATATTCGTTGCAGATCTGAAGTCGTTTTTAGCCCACAGTAGTGGCACAAGTGAGTGAATATGCTAAACATGCTAAATTGACAAGAATACATACATACATATTCAAATGAAAAACAAACTGAAAGAGGGGAAGGATCTCCAATCTCCATACCCACCCAACTACCTTAACCGAATCATATCAGATCAAATTTTAGTCTAAAAAATTAGAAAAATATATTACAAAACATAATTGCTAACATTTTTGAAGTTAATAAAATAATTCTTCCAAGTGTAGATTCATATTCATTACAAGCAGGTAGCGTAAAAGTAGAAGATTTGATATGTTTCTTATTAGTTCAAGACTACTTTTGTCAATGAATGTGGAAGCAAACGACACTTTTATCAAGCTCAACAAGGAGTGATTTAAACATGACCAAATGCACACTACAGATTCCTTACATTAATTATGGATTCAAAATAAGCTAATATTTGTATGGGTAATTAAATGTTGTGGGTTTTAAATTTTATTATTTATATATAAAAATTAATATATAATACAACAAAATACAATTACATATAAAAATTTTTAATTATATATATATATATATATATATATATATAAACTTTACGGTCCGGTCCGGTTTTTATACGGTTTGAAATCTTAAAAACCATAAGCCAAACCGTTAACTACGGTTTGAAAAGTTCGAAACCGTAAGCCAAACCGTGAAGAAAAATATAAACCGTAAAACAAACCGATGACCGGTTTGACCGGTTTTACGGTTTCAAACCGAACCGCGATCACCCCTAATAAGAATCTGTGGAAAAGTTGCCTCCAAAATTAGCAAGTGGCAAATAGTTCAGGGGTTATTTCCGTAACTTATCGTTTACTATTCATAGTTTGACTATGAATAGTAATCTAATATGAAATTGAAAATGAAATTGGACGGAATGGAGGCGCAGACATTATTATATGTGTATAGTAATATGCAATATGAATTTGAAGATTGTAGGCGCAGCAATTTTGTCTTGGACGGCATTTTTGTTTTCTTCTTTCATTTGTATTCTCCTCTTTGGCTATAAATAGCCAGAGAGATTTAACCCACGAATAACCCAACAATCAAAATATATATATATAGTAAAACATTACATATATATATATATATATATATATATATATATATATATATATATATATACTGATACACCACCATATATTTTAGCCCTCTCACTCTATTTGTAATCTCTTTCATAATCCCTGTAAACACTGCAAATTATAGTGAATTGTTTCTCGGCTTCCTCCGCCCGTGGTTTTTTTCCCGATTTGGGTTTCCACGTAAATTCCTGTGTCTCTATTCTATTTATTTTATTCGTATTTCGTTGTGATTATTACACTTTGATAATTTTTGATCCCATTTCGCATTGAGCTAATATTATTTAAGTCTATTCGGATCCTTCGTATTTAACAACAATTGGTATCAGAGCCAGGTTGTAATATTAGCTCATTGGGATCATTTTATCAAGTAATTAATCATGTCTTCGGTAAAATACGATATTCCACTACTGGATCGTAACACACGATTTCCGTTGTGGCAAGTAAAGATGAGAGACATTCTCATTCAGATGGATTTACACAAGGCGCTTTTGGGTTTCAATAAGATGCCCGATACATGGACCGAAGAAGAAAAGGAGATGAAAGATCTGAAGGCTTTATCCCAGATTCGTTTGCACTTGTCAAACGATGTTTTGCAAGATGTTCTAAAAGAAACGTCAGCGGCTTCTTTATGGCTAAAGTTGGAGCAACTGTTGATGACCAAGAGCTTACCAAACAAGTTGCATTTGAAGAAACGGTTGTTCAATCTCAAGATGATTGAAGGAGGCTCTTTAACTGAACATATATCCACATTTAAAGAGTTAGTAAATAACTTAGAGAATATGGATGTTCAGTATGAAGATGAAGACTTGGCTTTATTCTTACTGTCGTCGTTGCCAAAATCCTATAGCCATTTTCGTGATACTATTATCTATAGCCGTGACACTTTAGTTTTAGATGAAGTCTATATAGCTTTGGATTCCAAAGAGAAGATGAAGCATATTACTGGTGGTGGTTCAAGTGATGCTAAAGCCGAAGGTTTGAATGCCAGAGGAAGAACAACAGAGAGAAGTAGAATTTCTCAATCTTCCAACAGAACCAGATCCAAATCAAAAGGCAAACGAAAGTTTTGCAACTATTGTCACAAGAAGGGACATGTGCTTGAAGAATGCTTCAAGTTGAAGAATAAAGAAAAAGAGAAGACGGCAACAAATGGTAAACAAGCTAGCACTTCGGGTGAAGCCGATGTAGCTGAGGTGGAAGGAATTGGAGAACTTTTGATAGTTTATTCAGATAAACTGGATTCCACTGGTGATTGGATACTCGACTCTGGTTGTACTTTTCATATGTGTCACAACAAAAGTTGGTTTTACACATTTGAAAAGGTTAACCAGGGCTATGTGTTGATGGGTAACAATACTACATGTCCAGTTCTTGGACATGGTTCAGTCAGGATCCGTATGTTTGACGGAGTTATTCGAACCATGGGGGATGTTAGATATGTTCCTGACCTCAGAAGAAACTTGTTATCTCTCAGTTCCTTTGACAAAAGGGGATACGAGTTTGCTGGTAAAGGTGGAGTTCTCAGGGTATTCAAAGACGGCTCCGACAAACTGAGAGCCAAACGAAAAACCTCAGATCTTTACTTTCTTGACGGGCAAACAATTTCGAGTGATGCTACTGTTGTTTCAAAGTCTCTTTCTGATCCAGATCAGTCCCGTCTTTGGCACCTTCGACTCGGCCATATGAGTTTTCAAGGCATGTCAGAATTGAGTCGAAGAGGTTTACTTGGTCAACAAAAGATTGTTGATTTGGATTTCTGTGAAGACTGTGTATATGGCAAGGCAAAACGAGTGAGGTTTGCAAGTGGCATCCATACAACGAAAGGACCACTTGATTATGTTCACTCGGATTTGTGGGGACCGGCTCGAGTTGCTTCAAAAGGTGGAGCTATTTATATGCTCACTATTATTGATGATTTCTCCAGGAAGGTGTGGTCTTTCTTCTTAAAACATAAAGGAGACGTTTTCTATACCTTCAGAAATTGGAAAGTTCAGGTTGAAAAGCAATCAGGTCTGGTGGTAAAGTATCTTCGTACGGATAATGGACTTGAGTTTTGCTCAGAAGAGTTTAATGTCTATTGTCAAAAGGAAGGCATTACTCGACATCGCACAGTAGTCCATTCACCTCAACAAAATGGTGTAGCTGAAAGGATGAATCGCACCATTATGGAGAAGGTCCGGTGTATGCTTTCTAATTCCAAATTGCCAAAGTCTTTTTGGGCGGAGGCTGCTTCGACTGCTTGCTATGTTATCAACCGATCACCGTCACGAGCAATCGAGAAGAAAACTCCGTTTGAGTTATGGTCCGGTAAACCTGCCAATTATTCAGATTTAAAACCATTCGGATGTCCAACGTATGCACGAGTTGACAATGGGAAGCTAGAACCAAGAGCAATCAAATGCGTTTTTCTTGGGTACAATCAAGGTGTAAAGGGTTACAAGTTATGGAGCTTTGATTTGAAGAAAATTATCATCTCAAGAGATGTTACTTTTGATGAGTCTGCTATGATTCAACCAGTTGCTGACTCTTCTAAAAGAACAGATGCATCAGATGTATCATCCGAAGCAAATAAAGAGTATGCTCAAATGGAGGTGGAGCTTCCTACTTCACCTACCACTAATCAGAGTACAAATCAGCATCAAGATTCTTCTTCGTCGGATGAGCATGTTGTTGGTGAAGATTCAACACCTTCACAACCACAAGCTACTACTCCAAGCATTGCAAGAGATAGACCGAGAAGACAGATTATTCCTCCGAAGAGGTATGCTGAATCTGATTTGGTTGCCTATGCTTTTATTGTTGCTGATAATATTGAGTACGCAACGGAGCCTGCGAATTATGACGAGGCTATCAAATCTGAAGACTCAAATGATTGGATACTCGCTATGCAAAATGAGATGGAATCCTTGCAGCGAAACAGTACTTGGAATTTAGTTCCTATTCCGAAAAGGAAGAGACCAGTTAAATGCAAGTGGGTCTATAAGCTCAAGGAACCTGTCAACCCAAATGATAAACCAAGATACAAAGCTCGGTTAGTAGCTAAAGGCTACAGTAAGATTCCTGGTATTGATTACACTGATATTTATTCCCCAGTTGTCAAACATACTTCCATTCGTGTATTGTTGGGGTTGGTTGCTTCTAACGATTTTGAGTTAGAACAACTTGATGTCACTACAGCTTTCCTAAATGGTGAGCTTGAGGAAGAGATTTTTATGCAACAACCTGAAGGTTTTGTAGTTCCTGGAAAGGAGAACTACGTATGCATGTTGAACAAATCTCTTTATGGCCTCAAGCAGTCTCCTAGACAATGGTACAAGAGGTTCGATTCTTTCATGACCAGTCACAAATTCAGCAGGTGCACCTATGATAGCTGCGTTTATTTTAAGAAAGGTAACAATGGTTCAAAGATCTACTTACTCTTGTACGTGGATGACATGTTGATTGCAGCGAAAGATATGAAGGAGATTCAGAAGTTAAAAGACCAGTTGAAAGCTGAATTTGAAATGAAGGACTTAGGAGCTGCCAAAAAGATTTTAGGTATGGAAATTATTCGTGACAGGAAGTCTAGGATCTTGCATCTTTCTCAGAAAAGTTATATTGAGAAAGTCCTAAGACGCTTCAGTATGCACGAAGCAAAGTCTGTCAACACACCTTTTGCAGCTCATTTCAAGCTATCATCCGTTTTGAGTCCTACTAATGAGACTGATATGGCTTACATGGCACGTGTTCCATACTCTAGTGCTGTTGGATCTTTGATGTATGCTATGATCTGCACGCGCCCTGATTTGGCTTATGCTGTTAGCATGGTTAGTAGATACATGGCGAACCCGGGAAAGAACACTGGAAAGCAGTACAGTGGATTTTTCGTTATTTACGCGGTACGTCTTCTATGTGTTTACGTTTTGGTAAATCTAACACTGGGGTGTTCGGATATGTTGATTCAGATTATGGCAAAAATTTGGATAAACGAAGATCAATTACAGGGTATGTGTTTACTCTAAATGGTTGTGCTGTTAG